TACTAGACTAGACTAGGCTTTTAAGGTTTTTTTCAATTTTTTTTTTTTGTGAGTTTCCAAAAGGGTTTGGAACTTGGGTCTAATTTCAAAACATTATTTTCAAAAGTTTTGTTCCTCAGGGCAGATAATCGCTTTTTAATTTGTTTTTGCAAATCTCGCCAGATCACTTTCATAGCAGGATCGCGTGTTACTCGATATTGTCTCCTGCGGGCGTTTTTTAGACGGATCAAGAACTGAATATCGTCAACTATCATAAATGAATCGCATTTAACCTCGAATTTTAGTACTGAGGCAGTTTCTATAGGCTTCAACTATAGAAGTAGTCAGAGATTCAAGAGCATAATTGACATCATCTTTGGTTTGCAAAGAAATGTTTGGATCGAAGCTACATTCCATAAATGCTCGATATTGCTCCCCATGGCTGTTGGGATTAGAAATTATTTCTTGGGATATTTCAAAAGTTACTGGAAGGTTATCAGAACCGAAGTCAGCATGGGTAACCAATTGGCTACAAAGTTGACATGAATCAGTTAAGGGATTTCTTGCTGAAGAAAAGCATGTTGGGCTGTTTGGATATTGAATAGTGTAATAACCTGCAGAACAATCATCAAAGAAAGTATTACCATTGAAATTGCTTTGAGCATTATTCCATGAGCGGTGTTGCATTAAAATCGCCAATAATGAGAACTAAGACCTATGACGGGTAAGTTTCTGAAGGTCACCCTTCAGAAAATTAGTTTGCTGGCCTACACGCTCGTTCGATAATACTCTAAATTGAGTGGAAAACCACTCAATTTCATCAAAACTGGATCTACCCCAATATGAGTAAGTTAGTCAGAACTCAGTTTTGAGTGAAACTGGCATATATTTATGATTGAGTAATTTATACTTATTTCCATTCGATCAAAAATGTATTACAATAGGTGAAAAATAAGCAAATATGTAAAAATAATTTCTTTATTCTCTTTTGTGTTTGTAAAGAAAAAACGAAGAACATCCAGTTAAAATAAAAAGAATCAAGTGACTTTATTGCATTATTGATAGCGTTTACATCGTTACAGCGTTATAACATCGTTGTATGAAGTTGCCTTTCACTTTAAATATGATTTGAAGATCCCGAGATGGTCCTTTCCAGAATACTGAAGGAGATCAGCTGTCGCTTACATAAATTATATAATTTTTTACTCCGGTAGTCCAACATCGCAACGCATCTCCATCACGTATTGCTCTGCAAGTTGTGTCATCTCTAAGGTAGAAATAGAAGATTCGAAGAACGTGGGATTTGTAATTCCAGAATGATCATTTTCTACGGTGTGGATTCTTGGATCCGACCCCGAAGAGCTAGGGCAACCTGGTAATGTATGATAATTTTCATGTTCTTCTTTGAAGTTCTTGTCGGTGTTTTCACGAGGGTGGACTTCAACAATATGCCGCTTCAAATTCTTAAAGCGATTATAGAGAGAACCGCATTCCGAACAAGCAAACGGGACATTCGCGGCATTGCTACTGTTGATCTTATGTACTTCCCTGAAGTGAGTTTTCAATTCTTCTACGTATCCAGTAACGATTACTCCACATTTTGGTAGATGACATCGAAGACATTAATGTTGATAATAAACATTATTTCAAATAATTAAAAACTTGCCAGCTTTACCCCTAAATTGTAGATAAAAATTACACATAGAATTTTGTAGCTTGCTGTTTTCTGCGGAAAAAATATCTCTCAATTTTCGATACGTTCCCGCATCAGCCGTGGCTGCAATCTGCTTAATTTTTCCAAGTTTCCTTTCAAAAATTTTAAATTTTTGTTTTAGACACCGGAAAGATGAACTTCGTGCTTATAACTTTTTCACAAACGCCATTTTGATTTTTGTTTTAAGTTAATTAACAAGGTGAAAACTCATAATTGAGATCCATACTTATTTATTTTTTGTTGAGTTGATGTTACTCAAATTTATAAACCTAAACCACTCATTCGTTGACGTTTCAAATGAAGATATAAAAATGAGTAGCTCCAACTCAGTTTTGAGTACCCTCGAACGAGCGTGTACGCATTGGAATGGCAAAAAGGCAGCTATAAACGTAAGTTGTCCAAAATTTGTTTCGACAGAACCTCCCAAAGTTTCAAAAACTTTGGTTTCAAATGAAGAAAGAATTTTAATTTGCGTCCTTTTTAACCTTATGGTCAGGTTTACGGAACGTTTGATTAATAACGGCAATATGCACGTTATGAACTCTCAAAAAGTGAAATAGCTCGTCTTTATTATCTTTGAAAGATCGAGCATTCCAATTAAAAATATATAATGATTCAGTAGACTTGAAGTGAACTAAATAAAAATCATTAGAAATCCCACTGCGCGAAACGCCAGGACGGGATTTAATTTTCATTTTGATTACTTGGAGTGGCACAACTCCAAGTAATTTTGCCAGTTCATCTTTGATCTGATCCAGGGATTCACCACTGGGCAGTCCTTTCATGACAACCTTGAACACACGTTCAGTTTTGATGTCGTAAGTAAAAAATTTGTGCTTCTTCTCAGTAAGATACTTCGCACAGAAAAAATCAATCACCGAAACAAAAATATTTGAGGTAAATTTAAACGTAAGCTCAGTTTTTTCTGGCCATAAAAATGAATTAGGTTGACTTCAATCTTATTCCATGTTTGAAGTCATGCGAAATTAATGATTAAAATCAAAATAATGTTACGTTTATTTTAAAAATATTCGTGTTGAAAATAAACGTATTTGTATTTGTTTGGTTTGACTGCTATGCGATCAAATATAAATATACATAAGGGAAACTCTAATGTTGGCCTATGGATCTAAGATTGGGCCCATACTATCGACTAAATTTTCAATAGTGACCAAAAATACCCATAGGTACCATCCCATTGACGCGTTCATCTAGATAAAATTCATAAATAGCCTATTTTTAGCGATGGGCCCAATCTTAGATCGATAGGCCAACATTAGAGCCATTTCCCCTATTTTGAAATTATTTAAGTATTTGAGTGCAGGGTAAAGCAAAATAAAACGGATTGTAAAGAAATGAAAAAAAAGATCTTCGGGCAGGGCATCTAAATTCCTGCTCTTTTCGGGTGTGACCTGGTGGTATTGGGACCCTAGTCCGGGATGCGGGGACCCGTCGGTTTGGGTGTCCGAGGGTTCCAGTTCAGTGGAACCGGTGAAAATTTGTGATAGCGTCGTTTTGTCACTGTTCCTGCCACTGGTCCTCATACCGGTTTCGTTCTACGTTCGATGTCGGAGGAGGATCTGTAATGGATTCAGAATCCATTTCGGATTTTCGTTGTTCTTTCGAAGTCACGTGTCGAGGCGGATGATATAGGGATCGGCAACAGAAACGGCGGAGTGACGTTGATACTGTGGGGTTCCGCCGGTTTTGTTGAGCTGGTTTCCGGATTCATCTTCGGTTTTACCACTTTCGGGCTGTTTTCTGTTGAGTTGAGCAAATATGGGGCAACTTTGTCCGAATGTAACAAGAAGGAAATAAAAAGGCGTTACCGTGGACCCCCGCTAATTTGAACCATACATCAATCAAATTATTGGGGTTCATTTTTAATCGGAACAACTGGTAACCCTAAACATATCGACAATGTTATGAACTGGAAACTTTATCTTTGTTATTGTTTTGAAAGTTTGTTTTTGTTTTGCACCGATGGTGATCGGTGAACTTTCTTTGGTTGAACATTGTCGATAATTGCTGATTTTAAAGTGGAAAAAAATGAATCAACGGGCTAATACTACTAAATCACGCAAAAGGTAAGCTTATCGAATTACTATTATCAAATTCAGCGCTAACATTATAATTATGTTTCGAGGCATTTTGCGGACGAAAACAAAGAAAATAAACAGACTCCTGTGAACACAAAAAGAAAGCATGTCACGCTCACTCTTGAGCAAAAGCTTGAAGTGATCAAATTACTGGATGGTGGCAATGCTCCTCTAGATAAATTTGCACGAAAATTCAGCATCGGTAAATCGACAGTTCTGTACATTTCCCGTAACAGGGAATCGATTCGCACAGCCGAGAATCGGTTCAGAGAAACCGGAGTGTCAGACAGGCGTACTACCAAAATGGCGATATTTGTTTTTAATTGCTCATATTTACTTTCCTGCATGAATTAATTTCTTTTCTTTAAAAACGATTCATATTTTACGATGGCTCATCCTCATGTTCAAGCATACATTTATCTCCTGGTTTCTGGAACTTTTTCAGTGTTTAAAAGATATTTTCATTTTCTTTTCGGGGAAATAATCACGATTTTACAGCATATTTGGATTTAAACAGTGATAGCTGTGCGCTTTGTGTGGGACATTTTAGATTTATTTATCGCGGTTATTCAATATGACATTGCTCATTTTGCCACTTTTATGGGAAAATATGTTCAACTGCAGGTGACGTAGGTGAGTTATTTAGTGCTCAAATTTCCTTATTTAGTGGAGATTCGTTCTTATTTAATTGAGCGTATTCTATTTACTATTGCCCTTTTTGCCATTTTCACCGCTCACATTCAAATTATTAAAAGAAGCTTTTTATTTGTTTATTGCCTTTTTCTTCATTTCTATTGCAACTTCTTTTTTTTTTTGTTTATTGGTGCACCCCTGTAGTATTATGTGTCCAATTTGAGATTTTTTATTGCTCATTTCGCTTTTTTTTATTGATGATTAATTGTGCTGCCGCTGCAATATAGATGGCTCAAATAAATTGCCATTGATGCTTTTGGAGACAAATCATTATTACCCGTGTACTACAAAAGTTTCAAAAAGGCATGGATGAACAGGGAAATATCAAGCAAAACTATTGAAGGTTCCTGGAAAAAAAACTGATTGACGAATATCCGCAATTCACTCTGGAGAGTGACGAGGACAGCTCCCTAGATGAAGATGTACTAGCCCTAGCGTCTTCAATTGCTGAGACTTTGGATTAATACCCGTCCACGGATGAAGTGAACCAGTGGTTAAACGATAGTGTCCACGATATGGATGGCAGCACACTTACTGGAGATTGTGACGTGTACAGTGATCAGGAGATAGTAGATTACGTACTTAACCGCCACACTGATTCCAACGTTGATTTGAAGACTAGTATGAGTGACCTTGGACAAAATGGCTCGATTCCCCATGATGATTCAATTAAGATTGAAAGATTCAACGAGAATCGTGAAAAGCATGATAAGGCAATGGAAAGTGTGGAGTACCTCATCAACTTCATGGAAGAAAAAGGAGATATACTGGAGGTTACCAGGCTGAACAAAGTCAAAACGGCGCAGACAATTTTGAGATGAAATCTGTTATTACTATGTTTTGACTTCTAACTGATGAAATCGTTTTTAAGTTTGAATCAATGTTTGAATAAATGTTTGAATCGATGTTTGAATAAACACTTCCCTTTGTTGCCATCAAAAATCTTTTATTGCATTTCTCTAATCAACTCCTATGTGAAATTCGCCAAATCTTGTATCTGGCTTTGATGCTATTACTGATCTAGAGGAATGGAGACTAACTTCTAGTTCTACGGTTCTGTCCGTTGCCAAGAATTAGTTAGTTAGTTTAGTCAGCTCATCCTGTAGTTGGCGATGATGTGTAGTGTCTGTCTTTAGATAGATTTCAAATTATGTGTATGGATACTTAGATGTCATTAGAATTGGTTCCAGATAAAGCATATGGAAAGTTCTGCGTTCAACAGAGGAAGAATATCCATCTTTATCTCCTTCACAGTAGCATAGATCACCTCTACACAACTTTTCGGTCCATATAATTTTAACACTGTGAAAAACATTTTTAGTGGGAAAGGGTAACATTAAACCTTGGGTAAAACTGAATTAATTCCACAGAAGATTTACTACTGATTGCATTTAAATCTGTATTGGGCTTATCAATCTTGCGAAGGATTTTCGGTGGAATCACCCCTTATGTTCATTATGATGTGATTATTATCTTCGCAAACAAATAGATTTATGGTTTGACACTGTTACTCTTAAATGCACATTCTACTTCCATGGCTAGCAGTATCGATTTCGCTCTTTGGATTCTATATTATTTAATTTCAGTTGGGATATCAGCAAACCACTTTGTTTGCCATGTACTTTTTCACTGAAAATGTAGATAATCATAAAATAATCGACTAGGTTCAATCGAAACGTAAACATTCAGCAGCTTGTGTTTGATGTTGAAGTGTCATATGGTTATGACGTTTGAACCATTTTTAGTTTGCATGTCGTGCAGATTAACGGGGTTCAAATTAAAAAGTGTTCAGATTAAAAACGGTCATATTACCGGAGGTGCACGGTACACGCCAAACCCGTTTATCCAAATTCTATATTGTTGAAATAAACATGTTTTTGAATTTAATTCAAACATACATATTTTAGTTTTAAACATGCTTTCAATTTACTTTGAATTATTCATATGTTTAGAGTACAAACGTTTATATTTTTGTTCTAAATGAACAAAATTTGTATCCATGTTCAGAAGACGTTTGAATCCGTCCAAGGTTTCAGCCAATACACGGCATTCACCCCGACGGCCAATTTACAATGAAATTTTAAATTTCACGAAGTTTAAAAGTTCCGTGCAAAGTGCATGGAATTCGGAAGTGGTTATCACAATAGGGGGGATCTTTTCCTTCTTGGCATTAAGCTGGGAAAGTTTTCTAGAATTTTTCCAGGATGATGGATCATCCCCATCATCTATGAGCAAATCAAACTGATTGCTCAAATTAATGTCATCAGAAGAGAGATCAAGAGATTATCCTTTTCTTTGCGTAGAAATAATCAGAGGGAGAGATGGGCGGAGAGAATGTGTTGAGCCCAAGGAATCAAAAATATCTCCAAATGACAAAATAACAAGCGATAGACGAACCGAATAATAACGGTATGTCAGAAGTGGAAAACAATAATGATATAATCTTCACCGTTCTTTTTCATGACAAGCAGCTCGTGCGACCCAACTCATTCGGGGCGGTAGAAAGAAACGAGCAAATTGTTGGCAAGCTGCTTCACGAAGTAAAGCCGAAGATGATACACGTGTGTTAATGGACATTTTTTTGTTATGTCTTTTCCCGATTCATATCAAGCTTTGTCCTCATCCGTGTATATTGCAACAAAGCAGGCAAGCAATATATCATTATCCTTCTACCACTCGGATCGAGCTTTGTTACAGAGCGAGTTTGTCATGGTAGTCGTAGCAACCGTTTTGTCTGTATCGTTGGTTGCTTTATGTGTTTGGATATGCTGGTTGAGCCAAATGAACTATCAAAATCTGAGCCAATCGAACATTCCCATTAGATTTTTTCCGAGGATTTCTTATTCTTACTGCATTAAATTTGAGAGTATAGCAATCGAAAAAAAATCAATCACCTTATTGTTTCGTGTGCAACTAGTTTTTGGAATCAGAAACAATATTCTATCTCTATTTTTTTATCCGTTTCGTTCGTTGGAAGACTCAATCGCGTTAGCTTTACGGAGCCGATAATTCATTGTTCACTGTTTGTAACAAAATTCACTTAATTCTATGTCTAGTAGGAGTTGGCCCGATTACTCGCGGCTTACTCGAGGTTAGAGGGGTACATTGTTGAAGGATAGGATCAGGGGAGGAGCTTGGGGTAGGGTTTCGTTGTCTCATCAGAGCGTTGTCGCCAGTATGACTGGTAGTGCTGTTCTAGCTTCGTCTGGAGTTCGACCGGCTATGGTGACCAGTGGGCGACGATGAGAATCATCGAGACGGGGGGATAAGACAAACAAAAACTAATAAAGAGAGACAAAAGACAAAGGAATTAAATTCTTATACTAGACATTTGAAGAAACACATAAACGGACTGCATATAGCAGAGATCACGGGTTGCCAACACGTCTCTGATAGGAACATAGGGTTGTCTTCCTTGGGCCTCGAGGGTATTCAAAAGTCGCTCTCTGGCGGCGTCATTATCCGTACATTGCCAAACTGCGTGTTCGATGTCATCGTAACTGTTTCCACACCGACAGATGTTGCTGTCCACGAGGTTTATTCTATTGAGATGAGCATCTAGCGAGTAGTGGTTGGACATAAGTCTACTCATCACCCGAATGAAGTCACGACTTAAGCCCAAGCCTTTAAACCACGCTCTCGAAGAAACATTAGGAATAATTGAATGTAACCACCGTCCAAGATTTCCAGTGTCCCAATCAGTTGCCAACTCGAAAGGGTACTCTGACGCACTAAATGGTAAAATTCATCGTGTGAAATTTGCCTGTCATATAATTTGCCTTCCTGCGCGCCCACCTTTGCGAGAGAGTCCGCCTTCTCATTGCCTGGGATTGAGAAATGTGAGGGGACCCATACAAAGGTAATCATATATGATCTTTTGACCAGTACACTCATCTGCTCCCTTCCCTTTGAAAGGAAATAAGATGAGTGCCTACCTTGTTTCATCGACCGAATAGCCTCAATCGAACTGAGACTATCCGAGAAGATGAAGTAATGGTCTGTGGGCATATTGGAAATCATCCCTAGAGTCGGTGTATAATGAGTCACGCCAAGAATGAAGCCAAGTCTACCTATTGAACTGTCAAACTGGCTACCTATCGTGCAAAATAAATAAACATTACGATGCTATGAATGCTACACGAAAGGTATTGCAATAAAATATAAAATTTAATCGAAGAAATGACCATACACACGCAGTGAGCATTTAAATTGTAATTAGATTCGTTTGGTAATGATTAGTAATGAGAATTTGTAATATATGTTGCTGATTTAATCCGACAAAATCACTAATATAATAATTTACTGCAGCCGGTAATTAAATTTCTCGCTAGAAGTCCTTTGAAGTTGATGCAGACGTCCTCTGTTGCCAAGTGAAAGGGAAGGGAATCTTTCGAAAACCGTGATGCGACTTCCACTGTTTTTCTCTTGGCGTGACTCATTATACACCGACTCTAATCATCCCCAATGCGAAGTTGATTGCTGCCAGCTAAGCAACAAAAACGGAACAAGGTTCCTGAAGTTTGCGGAAGGCGCTAGAGTTTTCATTGCAGACACCGAAGCCAGTAGATCCATTGAGATGGGACCCGTCTGTAAAATATCTTTTCATGCAATTGACTTGTTGGTACTTTTCAGTAAAAATACGTGGGATAATAATAGGTCGAAGTTGATTTGGAATCCCATGAGTTGCTTGTTTCATGGTCAGATCATATTCAATTGAGTAACTGCGATTGGTGAAGTGAACACAGTCTGGAGTATAACAAGGAAGACACATATCCGACGATATGTTGTGGTGGTAGATTCTCATAAATCGAGATTGTGTGTTCAGCCCAAGAATTTCTTCAAAATTTGCAATTATAAGTGTGTTCGTCACTCCGCATTTGATTAGTATTCTGAGAGAGAGCTCCCAGAAACGGTTCTGCAGGGGTGTTACTCCTGCCAGAACCTCGAGACTCATGTTATGCGTTGAGTGCATACAGCCTAGAGCAATACGCAGACAACGATATTGAATTCGTTCCAATTTTATTAGGTGACTTTTTCTTGCCGAGAGAAAGCAGAAAGAGCCGTACTCTAGAACAGAGATAATAGTTGTTTTATAAAGCGTTAGGAGGTCTCCCGGATGAGCACCCCACCATGTGCCGCAAATTGAACGGAGAAAGTTGATCCTCTGCTGACATTTTTGCTTCAAATACGTAATATGGGCATTCCAAGTGCACTTTGAATCAAACCAGACCCCAAGGTACTTGAAAGATAATGATTGGGTAATGTTTCTGCCCAAAAGATTAAGCTGCATTTGGGCTGGGTACCGCTTTCGAGTAAACACTACCAGTTTAGTTTTCTGCGGCGAGAATTCGATCCCTAGATTCCTAGCCCAAGAAGACAAAGTATTCTAACTCTATTGAATTAATTAATCTTTTTTGTTTAATTAATGGCACCAAGAAATATGCAAAATATTGCGATGCAATCAATTATTATTTTGCACGTAAATCGCTGAGCACTAATGCTACCGACCCCAGGGAGGTAGCTCCCACACCTGGACCCTTCCTATCGACCCATCAACTCATGAGCCGGGGACCAACGGCTTCACTTCTCGTGATCAGAGATAGTATTCCTTAGAACATCCCGGCGGCGCTGCCTGGGATTGAACCCAGGCCTGCTAGGGGAGAGTTAATCACGCTTACCACTACACCACCGGTGCCGCTAAATGCTAGCTTATAGCAAGGGTTGCAAGATAATTTAGGTACAAATCCCTGCAGCCGAATTGTATTTTGTTTGCTCCGCAAATCTCTCCCTCTGAGTATTTCTACTTTTGCGCTTAGCTACCATGGCAAAACTTTTATCCAAATCGACTTCCAAGCAGGAATTTTCCAAATATCCAAGTAGGACTACCTCGGGCAGGGTCCAAACAAGGATCGAAGAGAAATAAGAGTCGAAAAAGGTGCTGTTTAATTTAATTGTAGTTTTAGGTAGCAGTAACACTTCCTTCAGCAAAAATCAAATAGATGTGCACGGCAAGAGAGCACGATGCGGACTACGCAATAAATGTTAAATTGTTTATTAGTGACGCTATAAATGTTAAATAGTATTAGTTAAATTAATATTTCAAACTCAATGATATATCATTGAAGAATGTTGTTCTTAATTGTAAACCATCTAACAAGTTTCACAAAGTTGCGAACTTTTAAATTAAAACTGCAAAAATAAACAGGGTATTTTTTTATCAATTTTTTTTTCGCCAAAAAAATCGGGTTTATCGGTTTTTTGTCCACATGTGGTTATTTTGGTAACGTTTATTTGGACGGATATGGTTGTATTCGGTATTGGTAAAATGCTACTTTCAACCCTAGTTTCAAGTTTTTGCAGACACTTTTTTCGATTATGTTTTTATTCCATCGCTACGGTGCTACACGTTTATATGATAGTAGCACTGAAGCATTCCACGCAACCATTTAGTGTATCTCAAAAACAGCTTATTGATTAGATTAGCTCCAAATTCAGCCTTTTGGAGGCAGATAAATTAGTATCAATCTGATAGTTAGCCACAATGGACAAGCTTTTAATAGTCGGGCTTACTTGTTGTGTATTTTACATTCTTGTAGAAGCTAAAAACGTGCAATTCACATTAAACAAATTAGATATAAGTAAAAAAATTGTGATAACTGAATGCACAAGCACCGGAAAGAATCAATGGGAACAACAATCCCATCCATACATCTGTGGGTGGTTCGTTTTATGTATGAATGACATTGGAATCGAGAGTCAATGTCCAGAAAACCTCCTTTTTAATCCAGATATTGGGCTATGCGATTTGTCTGAGAATGTAAATTGTGACGACATAACAACCACAACAGCTCCGGAAGATCCTACAACCGATACAACATTGATTGAGACTACCGAAACAACTGCTAGTGACGATTTCACAACCGATACTTCGGTTGAAACTACAACTGAAAATGTCACCACTGTTGAAACTACAACTGAGAATGATACTACGATTGATAATACAACTAAAGATGATCCAACGGTTGATACTACAACTGAAGATTATACCACGATTGATACTACAACTGAAGATGCTACCACGGTTGTTACTACAACTGAGAATGATACTACAGTTGATACTACAACTGAAGATGGTGTTATTACTACAACTGAGAATGATACTACGGTTGAAACTACAACTAATGATGATACCACGGTTGAAATTACTACTAAAGATGATACCACGGTTATTACTACAACTGAGAATGATACTACGGTTGATACTACAACTGAGAATAATACTACGGTTGAAACTACAACTAATGATGATACCACCACTGATAATACAACTGATGATGATACTACGGCAACTACCGATCAGGAAGAAACCACCACAGATTCAAATCTCAGTCCTGAAACGACGACGGATCAATTGGAAACAACAAGCATAGACAACGAGGTGACAACAGAGGAAATCAATACTACCGTGGAAGATGAAACTACTGAAGGGGCTACAGAATCAGATTGTGAACCTTTGTGTGCAGACCTTCTAGCTTCAGGTGGTGAAATTGCCGATCCTAGTAATTGCGGTAGATTTATTAGCTGCACTGACCAGTGCAGCGGTGGTACCATGTTTTGCCCATCTAATTTGCATTTCAATCACATTATGTCTGTATGTGACCTACCAGAACGGGCTGAGTGTTTGTTGGAAGTATGTGTCGGCATACCGACCGGAGTCATCCCCAGTGTAAACAGCTGCCGACAGTAAGCACAACTGCCAACAGTAGCATATTTTCAAAGCTCTGTCATCTTATTATGATTTCATTACAGCTACTACGGGTGCATGAACTCGAACGCCATCCTCCAAAGTTGTGGACCTGGACTGGTGTTCGATCCTGTGAAGAAATTATGTGTAACAGAAGATGCTGACAATCCATGTGTAGTAAGTATTCATATCTTAGCGGGTGGAAATAAAAATGTAATTCTCATTTATGCTTAACTAGTTCCCGGATATCCCCGCACCGCCACCAGAAGTTTATTCGCAATGCACTCCAACCGTTGTCGAACAACAGCTTCGTCATCCCACTCGTTGTGACGTGTTTTATCGATGCGTACGAGGCATGCTGTCTGGCCGAATATGCCTCGATGGCTTGTTATTTGACGAATCGCTAGGAAAGTGCAATCTAGCGGAACTAGTTGATTGTGTCGACGAAACTGAGCAGCAGTGAAGATATTCAGTGGAAAAATCTCAAAATGTGGAAAGTCATTCGAAACGCAAGGCAGTTCATAATTCTCGCTCATCTTTTCAAATAGACCATTCTCTTTAACGACTTTCTCTTTCGTTAATAACTCGACTATAAAAACGTGTCCTGACCCATTCATCGTTTTGGATACTAGATCGTTTTTTCTCATTCAACTAACTGTTTGTAGAAAATATCCCCAAATGCCTTTACACGGCCACGGTGATTCAAAGTGAAAGTCAATGCAAATAATCGATAAATATACATTGGTCTATTTGAAAAGATGCGCTAGAACGCTTTAGCTGGTTTGATTGTTGGAAATGGAATAGAAGGTTTTAATAAAATTACACTATAGCACATATTAATAGGGTAATTTGGTTAAGATTTATTTTCCGTCATACTAAGCACAGCCCACTCTTAACCTTTCTTTTTCGAACGCGTTTTATAAAACATGGAATGATTCTATCAAAAATGACTTCTAAATTTAGTTAGATTTCCATACTTATCGTTAGATTTGATAAAGAGTCACTGTTGAAATATTGTTAAAAATCGAACACTGCTTCTTGATTACTATTCCACCACACGCGTTTCAATTGAAACACATTGAAACGTCATTGGATTCACTTTGGCAGGCCGGATGAAGGCAGAACAAAATATTCATTATGAGCGCTTCTTTTGTTTTTGAGAAGAATGGATGTAAACATTCATAGGGTTAACTACCCCATTTCCAGCCTATTAAGCACAACCCGCACTTAGTCTTTCTTAATCTAGCGCAGTTTAGCACCAAACGGAATGTTATTATCACTGATGGCTTCCAAATTTATTTACCTTTCCGTACCGTAAGATTTGATAAAGATAAACCAATCGTTGAGATATTGTCAAAAGTCTAACACTGCTTCTTGACGCCTAACTCGGCCTACGGATTCTAAACTCGGCCTAACGCGTTGAAACGCAATTGTAAAGTGGACCCTACACGATTACTTTTATTGACAATAATCGTATTGTCAATACATTCTATATTGACGTCAATATATCGAGATTGACAATATTTCTGAATTCACATCATCAATATTATTGTCAATAATTCCCCTTCGCATCAATATATTGATGCGTGTGGGGTTTGCTTAACGCCAGTGAATTGACTTCGGCCTATCGGATGAAGATAGAAATTGATTCGGTCGGAGAGCTTCTTTTGTTTTTGGGAATAATGGGTGCAAACGTTCATATCACGTGTTCTCATTGACTTTGTTCGGTAGCTTATTAACTAAAGTATCGTACCAAATGCATAATTGACTTGTTAACTATGAAATTATGGATTTATTGGAAGTTTTCTGCTCGATAGACCCAAAATGGGCGATTAGGTCGAAGTAGTTCTCTACCCTATTATGCGTTCTTATACACAGAAACAAAATCCATAGGCAAAATTACTATATTGATGGTTTAAATTAAATATTCCCACCAATAGATTTGTGCAGAAACGAAATTCATTTAATTTTACTATTTTTTCTATCAAAACTACTATGCCGTTTGAGACTTCTAAATTTAGTTAGATTTCCATACTTATCGTTAGATTTGATAAAGAGTCACTGTTGAAATATTGTTAAAAATCGAACACTGCTTCTTAATTACTATTCCACCACACGCGTTTCAATTGAAACACATTGAAACGTCATTGGATTCACTTTGGCAGGCCGGATGAAGGCAGAACAAAATATTCATTATGAGCGCTTCTTTTGTTTTTGAGAAGAATGGATGCAAACATTCATAGGGTTAACTACCCCATTTCCAGCCTATTAAGCACAACCCGCACTTAGTCTTTCTTAATCTAGCGCAGTTTAGCACCAAACGGAATGTTATTATCACTGATGGCTTCCAAATTTATTTACCTTTCCGTACCGTAAGATTTGATAAAGATAAACCAATCGTTGAGATATTGTCAAAAGTCTAACACTGCTTCTTGACGCCTAACTCGGCCTACGGATTCTAAACTCGGCCTAACGCGTTGAAACGCAATTGTAAAGTGGACCCTACACGATTACTTTTATTGACAATAATCGTATTGTCAATACATTCTATATTGACGTCAATATATCGAGATTGACAATATTTCTGAATTCACATCATCAATATTATTGTCAATAATTCCCCTTCGCATCAATATATTGATGCGTGTGGGGTTTGCTTAACGCCAGTGAATTGACTTCGGCCTATCGGATGAAGATAGAAATTGATTCGGTTGGAGAGCTTCTTTTGTTTTTGGGAATAATGGGTGCAAACGTTCATATCACGTGTTCTCATTGACTTTGTTCGGTAGCTTATTAACTAAAGTATCGTACCAAATGCATAATTGACTTGTTAACTATGAAATCATGGATTTATTGGAAGTTTTCTGCTCGATAGACCCAAAATGGGCGATTAGGCCGAAGTAGTTCTCTACCCTATTATGCGTTCTTATACACAGAAACAAAATCCATAGGCAAAATTACTATATTGATGGTTTAAATTAAATATTCCCACCAATAGATTTGTGCAGAAACGAAATTCATTTAATTTTACTATTTTTTCTATCAAAACTACTATGCCGTTTGAGTAAGTATAGTAGTTTTGACAGAATGGTATTAACTTTGTTTATATTTATAGTCAACTATACTGAAATTATGGTAGATTTAACGGCATTAAGCGTAGTTATACTGAAAATAAGTGTTTTCTGCAAAATAGTATTTATAACTATGGTCTTTGTTTCAGTGTAGAATTTGTTTTGAAGCGTTTGAACTGAAGTATCGTACCAAACGTACGTTTGATTCGTTCACGTCGCAATCATTGATATTATTGAAGTTTCTGATCGATATGAAGGAAATAGGCGCTTATGCCGAAGTAGTGCTCTACCCCCTACTAGAAAAATAAATCATCAAATTGTATTTATGTAATTCTCACACGAATTTATCCTATAGGATCAACAAATGAATCCTATGGGTACACATACAAGCCATGTGTGACTCTAGGGTGCCAATGAATGTTTGGGTAAAAATGACCATCGAATGGCATCAAAGGACCATATACAAAATGTTTATTGACTCGAGAAAAAACCCTATGCAAAAGTTGGTCTCAATTGGACATAATTTAGGAGTGCCGTAAAGCGGTTCAAGTTCGATCTTTTTCAGGTGCAAAATCACTCATGAACTGGATACATGAAATTATGGAAATATTTTTTAATGGACCATATCGTTAACCCTCGAATGCATAGTGTTGCCATTTGTCAAAATACATTTTTTTTGTCTTTAAACATGGTGGAACAACATTTTGATAGTAAGCGCAATATATATAACTAGAAGAAAAATTCACCACAAAATATAAAATCATGCATTTAAGGGTTAATTTATAATATTTGCTTCCAAGCTACTAGCATATCATTTTAAACCATCACTAGCATTTGGTTCGCGATACTTTACCAGAGAGATTGTCTGTTCTTGGAGTAGTTCTTTTAATATTCAAAAATTCAAAATACAAAAATCTCATCTTTTCACCACATGCATCTAAACAAATTTGAATTGGGTGAGTGTGTTTATTATTTTGGGAGTATTCCTTGTGGAGAAAAAAATATAGGGAAAATTTACTAATGATTCTCTAATTGAACACACTTCCGTAAACCTCAATATTATCATTTAATTCAAAATTTCTTCCACAGGAATTAGTCTCAATTCTGTTCTGCATGTCTACGTTGAAAAATATGGAAATACTTATTTTGAACATGACTTAGACCGTATTGCCAATGAGGGAGTACTAGTTTCATAACTGACACAATTCCCCAGATCAAATGTTGGTTTAAATTATCAAATTAGGGGAATTTACGTATTCTCGTCAATCTAAGCAGCGTCTGCACTTCTACTAGCATTTTCTCAGCGTCACGCACATATATGATGTGTCTGTTTGTTTACATTCATCTGCTGCTTGCTTCTCTATCCATTCCAATCGACAGAATTTTTCAAAACGTTTTGAAAGCGTTTTTACAACGCTCCAAACTTCTCAGGTGAGTGTGACTATTGTCGGCAGTCTCTTTTTCTTCGGCAACCTTCCCATTAGAACTACGTGTTAACCAGCTGTTCTATTATCGGCAACTCGAAATCAACCTCATTTTGTAGTGCGTATGCTTTATTTGAAGAAAAATGTAGCATTACTGGATTGCTCGATCGTTCAAATATAATCAGATTGAAGCTGAAAGGCTAAACAATCGTTTGGACACATTCAGGGAAGTGCGTTGATGGGAAAACATAGTGAAATTAACGTTTAAATTTTGGTTGCCGAAAACAGTCAATGGGTGCCGAAGCCAACATTTACCCTATATCGTTTTAATTTTTTTTTCAATTTTTTTTTTTTTTAATCAAAAAACTTTGTTTTTCCTTGATGTTTTTTCCGTCGATTTTGTATTCCGTACTGATGCCAGGGAGGCAGCTCCCACACCTCGATCCATCAACTCATGAAATGGAGACCAATGGCTTTACTTCCCTTCCGAAGGAAAGATTTTATGCATCAGAAAATGAATGAGAGTCAACAACGCAGGCAATAATCGTTGGTAAGTAAAACTTAATAACTACAAATTTATTAATTTTACAACCGTCACAAGCATTAAGTTCGTTATATGTATTTCAATATGGTCTTCTCTAGAAATACTTACATCGAATGTATTTTTGGATTTATTACATCCTCTGCATATGTTTCATGCAACAAATGTAATTGCAGTTTTTGCAATGGACTGCAGCTGCATACAAGTAAGTTTTTTCTTCCAGAATGCATATTTTTGTATAAAACCGTCACGAGATGATTTTCTAGACGTAATGCATATAGTGTACAATTCCTAAAGCATTATTTCTAAATTTTCTACCACGAAGTCAACCATTTCCATAAGAAAATTGAGAAAACAAGTTCATTTGGAAAAAAAATTAAAAAATCCGAGTTTTGCAGTTTGAAAAATAATATTTTTCACTCTTATTCGCTTTCAATATCACGCGTGATATCGGAACAAAATATCATGCCTATTTTTGATTTAAAAACTCCTTTGATATTGTGAGACTATTCACAACATATAAAAATGCAACTGATAGTTGACTCGATACAATCATAGAGGTAACTCTATGATACAACTGCTCGATGGCAGACACGAAGCTACTGCTTCCAGCAGTGACGGTAGATTCGGGTCGCGTTCCGATGTAAAGCAAAAATCATTAAACTTAAACTCACCACGGTTTGGATAGAATTGTAGCTGGTGAATTTAGTTAGCTTGATATTTGTAGCTTGTAATATCTTCCACAGTAGCTTGCATATTGATTTTTGTCTACGAAAATCAAGCGTAAATTTGGGCAATGCACACGAAACGAAAATCAATTATTTTATTCATGCGTTTCACTTATACATTTTTTCCAAAACATCAGCCTTATACATTCCATAAGACAAACCACATAGGTCCTATAATAATGCATAAATGGTATGTGTGACCGCTTATACATTTAATTTCACGCATGATCTTCATTAACTTTTTGCAAGGCGTCTGCTTATTTTTTTTTCCTCTGTTCGGGACCTAACACTACTGCGACCAGTAAATTGATCTATTGTAGTATGTCTCGTGTCCTTAGTTTAGTGCATGTCGTATTACTCCATCACTATTGAGAAATGATGAAGTATTCGATTTTTTTACAGTTGCCACTCTTGCATATATCGCAAGGATCCGACTTTAATTGAAAGGTCCCGCTATTTATACCCTTCGGAGTGTTGAAACACCCTACAAAGGCGCGCCCCTTTGTCAGTCAAAATTGGATTCCTTAGCAACAAAATTAAGGTATGACACCGATAATGACCATGCATCAGAACCCTAGCCTTAACCACTTCAAACTAGGGAACAACGAAGAGAAGATTAGGAATCACATAGATGAAGACTAATTAACTCATTTTTTCCTTGTTTCAAGATCATCCTCGGTGGACAAAGTCGAGTCTTGTCACTATCAACAAGGCATAAAAAGTATCAAGGACTAAGATGTGTTCCTTGGATTACTGAAAAATCCTGTTCCCCTAGTTTGAAGTAATCAGCACTGGGAATCGGTGGTAGATCTTACATCCCGTAACGTACCACGAAAAGGTAATCTACCCACGTTACGGGGCAATGCTTATTAGTTGACTTATACATTTTATGACTAATCAGCAATGCAAATTTGCCAAAAGGTATAAGAAGATTTCTATCCATGCACAGTGGTGCAAAAGGCCAAATCCATGAACTTTTTTCATTAGCACCTTTTACAGTGGTTTTTTCAATAGGGTGTCTTGAGAAGAGTTTTTATAAATGACAAGACCCATTGAATGAAGTTACGTTTTAGTTCGAAACTTCACCACAGGTGGCGCTGCAAAATCTAACTTTTTAGTTTGACCAGATAGAGATATAAATTCTTCAGCTAAGTTGTAGGTTGCTTCATAACTAAAAACTTTGTAGAAGACGCCATATCTCTATGTTTTGTTTGTTTGTTTTTGACAAGCCAAAGCAACCCATGATTGGCATTTTTTAACTGTCATTCGAGCGTTATGGTACAACAATTGAGTTCATCGGAGTAAAGCCGGTTACTGTTTAAAAAATTCTGATTCACTGATCTAAAGTTGTGAAAAGCTTTCTAGTCCCAATAGGCCAATTGTCAAAACAGGCGCAAGAAAGTCGTAATAAAGACTATTACCCCGTACCAGTGCTGAGATTTGTCATTGTCATTGACAGATTTTCGTGCGATATTGACAAAATTGTTCGTCACATAGTCACTGACAGACTTGATCCTCAAAAAAACCTTCGTCAAAATCTTATTCATTTTTTCGTCAATGACAAAGATTCACCTGGTAACAAATCGTGTAATTTAGTACATTCTGTGTCACATTATTGTTATCCAAGTAGTTCAGGACGTAGATGCTTGTTCACTAAAATGGCTCCATGTAATTGTTTTGCTCAAGTCATTTAATTTCGTTACAAATTTAGTTAATATAAAAATCCACACATTCTAGTTGATCGATCACGCAACACTTCCAGAGCGTTATGGCTAGTTGCAAGACCTGCATAAATCTTATCCGAACAATCTCCATGCCGCACCGCACCGACAACCGAGCTGTCTGGCTGCATGTAACCAAGGCAATTATTGACAGCCGTCTACTCTATGGCCTGAAGCTCACCACAATGGCCAAAAACAAACTTTTGCAAGTCCTTGCCCCGGTTTACAACGGCTACATCCGGGTAGTTTCAAGTATCGTGCCCTCGACGCCGGCTGACCCAACCTGGGTTGAAGTCGGGGTACTTCCCTTCGGGCTTAGAATCAATAGTGCAGTCGCCATCAAAGCGGCTGCCTACTTGGAAAAACCATTGTCCTAATCCTTACAGATTCACACAGCATAATCTCTGCTCTCCGGTCCAACATGCTCACTCATCCGTGAATTCAGGGGATCATCCGATTTGCCCCCTCAAACACAGTGTTCACCTGGGTTTTGGGGCTTTGTGGGATCACTGGCAACTTCGACGCTGACAAATTGACCGGAGTGGCAGTGCCAGTTACACCGATGAAGTCCCCCTTATGGACGTCAAGCGATGGGTCGAAAACTCCATGCAGGCTAGGTGGCAAGAAGATTCCTTCCTTTTGGCCAGTGAGGCATCTCTACCGGACGGGGGACTTGTTCGGATTTGTCAATAAGCTATCTCTATGTCAATGGTCTAGTTTGTTTTTCTGTGTCTTCCAAATTTTAGATGCCGTCCAACCAAAACTCTGCAATGTCAAACTGTGTACTTTCCTAAGGCATAAGGCCTGCCTCTGATATTTTTCCTGCAAAGTGAAGAACTAGCCAAGGGCTAAAATCACTGAAATAAAGCAAAAACAGAATTTTTCTCTACAACTTTGTCTCAAGCGTCATTTTGATCAAAAGTGCCTTTCCGTGCTACAATGTTTTAAAAAATGTTAATATTTCCATTTTGAAAATTTTACAAGATCCAAAATTTCAAAATTTTAGCAAACATGTAAATCATTGCCCCTAATAAACAATTATGCCAAGTTTCTTACAAACTGTAAATAAATTTCTAGTAATTGTTCATATTAAATTTGGGTTCCCTGATACCGAACCTGATGCTAGAATTCTTGTGTGAAGTGCATGTTCAGCAAAAATTACAAAAATAATAATTCTTAAAATGCAAATTTCATCACTTATATTGTTAAATGGTAAATAGTTGTGCATGTACATAGCTGAATTGAAAAAAATATGAGCATGATGCATTCTACCGATTTTCAAGAGGATTGCAATAGTTTAAAAAAAATTAACATCGATCATGTCCAATTCGAACGGCGCCGGTGGTGTAGTGGTAAGCGTGATTACCTATCACCCCAGCAGGCGTGAGTTCAATCCCAGCCGGCGCCGCCGGGATGTTCTGAGGCATAACATCTCTGATCACGCCTTCCTTCGGATGGGAAGTAAAGCCGTTGGTCCCCGGTTCATGAGTTGATGGGTCGATAGGTAGGGTCCAGGTGTGGGAGCTGCCTTCCTGGCACGTCGGTAGCATTGGTGCTCAGCACGGACAAGATCGACGGAAAAAACAAACCGAAGGAAAAAAAAAATGTCCAATTCGATTCAAGATCGTCTATTGAGCTTTCCCTTCTGTGACAAAGGATACCTTGGAGCTTAATGCATCGTCATGAAACAATAAGAAGCCCCAAAATCATATCTCAAGCAAATTCACCATTTGAAAAATCATGTAAATTTCGGAGAAATATTTTGTAGTTAACGGTAGATTTGGCGTAAATTTACATGATATTCATTGTAAATTTTAGTTCAATTTTGTATAAATCTGCAGTGTTTTATACAATCTTGCACAACATACCATTATTCCTGCCAACTATAGCACAATTTTAAATGAGAGGAGATTAATCGCGATGGTTAAATTAAAAAAAAAAAATCTGTGTGGGAGGTGACAAACCCTAATTTCCCGCATGCATTCATACTCTCCAGAAGCAGACCTAAATGGTCTGATGGGTAATTGAAACTGCTATCGAATGGCGTTGTTTACCATTCTCCTTTTATTGATCTTAGCTTATCAAGTGAAAGCACTTTATTGCAATAAATAACTTAGTCAGAAACAATGATATCTTAGTGCTGTTTCGTATCTCGGATGTTCAAAAGCTTGTTTCTTCCTGTCATATAAGCGACCATGGAAAAGTACGCTCAAACTCTGTTCCGTTTATTACTAATTTTGATTATTTTAGCTATCGCATCCGGAAATCCAAACTGTCCAGCTGAAGAAAACGAAAACTCGGACGCCGTTCTGCTCCCACATCCAGACGTCTGCAGTAAATATCTTATCTGTTCGAACGGGGTCGCTTACGAGCAAGACTGCCGCGACGGATTACTTTTTAATCCGGCACTGTTGGTAAGTCTAACCACAACGTCTGGCTCTAGGTTCAGTTATCTTTAATTAACCTTTACCATTGAAGGTTTGCGATTGGCCGGAAAATGTCGAATGCGAAAAATTATGAGTAGATAAAACTGAACTACGCTATTGTAAATGGATTTGGAATGTAACCCATATGGAATGCTTGATGGTTTAGCGAACGGAAGTTATATCACAAACGACTTCGGTTGTGTCTACGTGCACGTGGCGGTTTTGAAAATGTCTGGAAAACGATTCTAACTATGTACGCGCAATTGAATTTGGTAGTTATCTATGCCTGCAATGTACTTTTATCTTTTACTACCTTAAACAATAGTGAACCCTGAACATCCCTCTGAAAGATATCTGCTTTTTCATACTTGTACGCAGGAAATTGATCAGTGCTGATGTCACTACTTATTGATGACATTGTAGAATAAAATTCCACTACGTATGAGGGACTTCAATCGGTAAAAATAGATAAGTATGCAGCAACACTCTAGATCGATAAATTTCTCAGATTTTGAACCTCTTTGTCCGAATGCTGTCAACAATCAATAAGCGTGCCTTTGTTCCGGTCAGATTGCTAGTAATTCAGAAGAGATTGGAATGCCGTAAAATATCAAAATAAATTTATTTTTTTAAGGAACTTTAAATGCTTTTATCATTGCAATCGTTCGTCCCTAATAATTGACGATTCAATTTTTATGTGTAACCAAAATCAGTAACGTAGCGTGACTGAGTGAGCAGTGTGAACTTGTGATTCGAGTTTCGTCCTTCTTAAGTATTAAGAATTCTTGTTTTCCAGGAGTGTTATGGTCCCATTTGATCACCATGCCTGATTAATGATCGGACATGAATTTAAACATTTTTGTTATTTCATATGTCTTCGAAAGAACATTTAACTATGTGTGCACGCACATGAACGGAAATCAAGAAACCGATAATTACAAATTAACTTCCCTATCATTCACATTTGTAGGCGAACCAGCCTCAGGCTGAAAGCCTCCTAAATAAAGATAAATCAATCAAATCCACATTCACATTTTTGCAAGGAAAACAATGTTAAGCATGTGAATATATTTATCAATGATATATTTATGACTGACATAGAAATGGTTAATTGAAAATGATGTATCACTTTACTAAAACTAAATAAAATATAGACCAATGAAAAACCTTATGCGAAGTGACATTTGGCCAAAACATAAATTTGGTTAAAATATCTAAAAATATGTAAATGTAAGGTAGCTATTATCAGGACACTGGGTTATGATCACAACGTACTTCGTGTGTATGGCTAAAGATCGCTGTAACCCTCGTTTAAGTTTATTTAAACTTTTGTTTGCCTGTGGATATTTTTTAAAACGAGTCTTTGCTACTATTTATGACACTTAACTTAACAGCACTATTTAAATAAAACAACTGGTTAATGTTATCTACACTTTACTCCAGGAGTTCTAGAATCATATTTCAATTCTAGCCCAATGTCACCCCCTAGGCCCAATATCACCCCGTCTTACGGTAGTAAAATTAGTTTTACATAATAATTGATATAGTAGCTCTGGAAAAAACGTTATATTCCATAAATTCAAAATAACACGTGTCTGCTGCCGCCAATAACAGCTTTTGGTTTTTATTTGGACGTTCCACTGATCGCATGGGTTTCGTAGAACATTAAAACATATTTTCAAAAAGGAGGCTGACAAAATCGGGTCATTACTGTATAAGATTTAAGGACCCTTGGCAGAATGCGAGGCTGGTGACGTGTGGCTATGTAGAGTGGAGCCGACTTCTTTGGACACCAGAGGACATCAAGGCCTTAGCCGGATTGGTATGGTTTGGTATACAGCCAACTCTCCCTTACACGTTCTCCCTAACTCGATGAAAATTCCAGCGTCTGATGGTCTCTATGGTCCTTTAAAATCAGAAAACTTGCCTGTATCGCAATGAATATTGAATGATTTGCTCAGTATTAAAATAATGGATCAAACCATTAGTGGGTGCTAGAAGCCCACGCTACCTTGGGGGCAACCTTAGCCCTACCATAATCATGGTCCTGATTGGTGATATTGGGGTAATTGGGACCCAGTGTCGGTTGTTCTGGAATATTGCCGGCCCACAGGAAAGAGTTTCCAGAATTGACTTCACGGTTTCTCCCGATTTTTCCGATGCAAAACCTAAAAAAATTCCCGGTTATTCATATTCAGCAAGGGATTCAAAAAAATCTCTAAGATTGGTTTCGACAAATGTTTAGAGTCTTAGACTATTTTAGAACAAATGAATCTGGGACTGTAAAGATATTCAAAAAGTGGAATCTAAATAAAAGTCTAGATCCATTTTCTGCCTTGATTTTTTTTTTCTATGATTTGGAACTTGAATGTACTTTCAGGGATCAAACAAATTAAATGATTTTTTATAGATTTCTAGCGAGAATACATATAAAAATGTAGGGTAAATTTCCTGAAAAAAACCAATGGAAAAATTCTAATGAAGCTCTGTCCCTAAATCCAATATAATTTTGAGATATAATTCTAAGAAGTTCTGAGGTGAATTCCAAGGAGGAAAGGAAAGGAAGTTCTGTAGAGACTTGCATTTGAATCGTGAACGAATGAATTTCAGGGAGAATTCAAAGAGATTTATAAACATAATTTAAATGGTGTTCTGTAGATAATTTCATGTTAATACTGAAGAAGATTCAGAAAAGAACTTCAAGAAAATTCTAAAAATAGTTCCAAAAATAGAGCACAAAATAAATTGAATTATGAATGTTTCAGGAAAATTAAGGAGAAAATTCCAGGGTATTTCTGATTATAAATCCACAGCATTTTAAAGGAAAGTTTTTAGTTTTTTTTAAAAAAAATGAGAAGAACATGTAGTTGCAAAGGGTGGGGGGGGGAGTTCCAAATCAAATACCAAGGTAATTATGAGGAAAGTATCCAGGGAATTCTGGAAACTCAAAAGCAGTTTTTTTCGTTTATACAAAAAATATGCAATGAAAATGTGTCCTCTGTGTCTTCGTAGGCAAGTAGAATGCAATGATCTCATTTTCATGAACGTAATTCTAGTTTGGATTTCCATTCGATCATTTTGTCATTTTAACATCTGTAGATTCTACAGTGTAGAACATCAAGATCTTAACTCCAGGATGATTTCGAGAACATTAGATATTTTGTTATTACAAATATATATTTTCCCCTGATGTAATGAGCTCTAACTAAGGTCTCTGGAGTCGTATGTTGGGACCTCCCTTAGCTCAGTCGGTAAAGGCGCAGCTACAAAGCAAGACCATGCTGGAGGTGGCTGGGTTCGATTCCCGGTCCGGTCTAGGAATTTTTCGGGTTGGAAAATTTCTCGACTTCCCTGGGCATAGAGTATGATTGTACCTGCCACACAATTATACTAATGCAAAAATGGTACAGGCATCGAAAGCTCTTAATTAATAACTGTGAAAGTGCATCTATAGAACACTAAGTTGAGAGCACGCAATAAGCTAATAATGCCATACGCAATAAGCTTGAAATGCGAAGAAGAAGAAGGAGTCGTATGTATTGTCAGGACATCGAGAAAAACTTTATTGAACATGTAGAACTTCAAGATCAATTCTTCAGGATGGTTTGAAGATCTTATTGTGCTACGTATTTGCTGTTCATGATTTCATACGGTGATACGAGGATTTTTGAAAACATATCTTTGCAGAACATCATCTTTTAAAGGTGAAGGTTTAAACTTCAGACTAATTTGGATGTTATTATAGGTCATACATTTTTTTATATGTCTCTGTCTAAGAAAAAGTGCGGAAAGTTCCTTAAAATATGCCCTAGAAAAAATTTGAACTGAAACGATTAAACTTGAGAAATTGAGCTTTCTTCTCCGATAGCCGATAGCTTGCTTCCATCTCAGCAGCATTCGCATCCAGCACCTTGGAGAAATTGGAAATTTCACCCAATGACGGTCTCGCACTTCCATTTTGGAAGTCAAAACGAATGGTGGTTTTGACCTTAATTCCAGACATCATCAAACTTAATTTGCTTCACCGATCAACCGAGCTACATGCAATGAACAAAGCACTCGGGACAGTAGTCTCTAAATCCAATATTAGCGCGTGATGTGCCACCATCATATTGAAAAAAAAACATCTGAAATGTCAAAATTCAAGTGTGAACTGAATGGATTTTTGACTAGAATGTTATGTTGAATCAATTGCAGTATGATAGATCATATTTTTTATCCTGCAACGCCCTTCGAAAAATCGTGTAAATTTAGGTGCTCTGAGACTGGCATATTTACTGAAAAACAAACCTGTCTAAACAAATGAAAATCAGTCCTTTTACGCTAAACAAAAACAGTTAATTCTGTTACACTTTAAAGATTTATAATCAGTGAAGAAAATGAACAAGGTGTGCAAAAAAATAAGTAAAATTAAACGAATTGTAACTTGCTACTGATACAAATTTTAAGACAACATTTTGTTTTCTTGATCTAAACACAAGTCAATACACAAATTTTTACTTATTTAGAACTAGCTAAACCATCATCCTTGATAATTTCAAGTCATTTGGTATAATAGTTAAAAAGTTACAGCTGTCTATCTGTGTGTCATGTTATGTCATGTTAAACTAATACAAGTATTTTATGTCAAGTTTTACTTCATACGCATCAACGACATAAAATATTTAATTCCTTTGAAGTTCGCGATAAATATAAAGACACATGAACTCTATTCTCTATTACTGCTAAGCAATATTGGTCCGAGGGGAATTTCCCTTGGTAGGTTTTTGTTTTGTTTACAACAATCACACCTAATTTGTGACCGCGTGATAAACTGTTGGAAATACCAACCGTGATGCAATGCGTATGACCGTCATCGGCAACGTCACTGCTGATAAGGCAACTAGTAAATTTTTTGATTTCTTGTCGATGATACATCACATATAGTAGCAAATATTGAGCATGAAAGTATTGTCATTTGCTATCGTGTCTTGATAAAACTGTGACTCATGGACTTTGACCATGTGCCTTACGAGATACGATACGTTTTTATCTAGCTTCACCGTTGTCCAATGTTTCCTATGTGACTTTTGACTTCCGGTAACGAAATATTCGGCACGCAATAAAAAACCTTTTGCTGCTTTCTTCGATTTCTATAGCACTTCAGACTACGCTGAGTAAGCAACATTGAAAATGAAGTGTAAGTGAATTAAATAGTTCTTTCTAGCTAATTAATGCTAATGAAATGTGTTTTCCATTCCACAGCACTAATTGCACTCTTCTGTTTGTTTGTGGTGGGCGTGGCATATGGTCAGAATTGCTACGGTCAATCCAACGGAAGCACACAGCCAGATCCTTCGCGATGCAATTTTTACTACTTCTGCAACAATGGAAATAGCAATCCGGTGAGCTGTCCTAGTGGCTTGCATTATAATGCTCGGGGAAAGGTTTGTGATCGTCCCAGCAGAGCAGGTTGTGTTATGTGCCCTTCAAGTGGTTTTCGGAATCTGCCAGTTGCTGGTGCATGCAACAAGTTTATCCAGTGCTTCCAGGGCGTGGCCACTGATAGAGAATGTCCAAAGGGATTGCTCTTCGACTCTAGCTATGGACAGTGTAACCTTGAACGAAATGTCAGATGTTAATTCGCGGTTGGGATTACCCCAATAAAATGTTGGTAATATAATTACAAAAACAGGTTGGTACTTACCTGAAGCATAGATTAAGGCATAAGGAAATTCATTTGAGTATAATAGTTTTTAAAAAATATGATAAGATTAAACATCGTTAAATGGCTGTTTTTTTTTTCAATAGTTTATTTGATAGGCTCAAATGTCCAAAAGGACTCCTTGGAGCCGAGAATCTTTAAATAATGTAATAATTACATTAAAGTATTAAAAAAGACATAGTTTATGAGTTCTTCCTTGCTTCTGCCAATTGATTTTCCTTCAGCAGCGCCCACCGCTTGGCCTCCTTTTCGTCCTTTACCTGCTCCTTCTCGGTATAGTTAACTATCCCGAATTTGTAGTAGTTCCTCTCCACTGTTCATTTCGGCGTCCCGGGACGTTACATTCATCACCATCGCCTATTCATCCAGGACCTCAACGACTCCTCGTTTGGTGATGGACCTCCAGTGATTACATCAGCGCACAGTGGTTGAAATCGACATTTTCGTGCGCTTTATCATGAAATTAAGAGATATGGTGCCTTGGGAAAAGTTTTTCAATATGTTACTGCGCTTCTTTTAGTGCTTTTAGTTAAAAGATTAATCCCCCTAAAAGTGAGATCGAACATTTTTTTTTTTTTCAACTTTTCAAGATACAGGGTTGGTTTACTGGACAAAGTTGTAGAAAATTTCTTTACAAAGAACTTTGTTGAAGACGCTTAATTGATATCTTTTTTACTTTTCAAGATATGTGACGTTTATTGCCGACGGTCCCTCAAAAATGGGTTTCTCATCATAACTTTTTGGTCTACATTTTAACCATGTTCTAGTAAGTTGTAGTATCTGCTGTATAAAAAAAGTTATTTGAGTTTTTGTAGATTTTTAGACCATAATTTATGAACTTGTAACTTAGCAGGGGGCAAAATGGGGCAAAGTACCCATGGTGCATATGAAACTTTAAGAAATTTACTTCAAAATGATAGCAAACATCTGTGAATGTAAGCTTTTGGAAGGTATGTTTCGTGTTAAAACTTTTTCTTCGTTATAGTAAAAAAATGCGGCACGCTAATTGGGTTCAATTTAATTTAATTTAATTTAACTGATAATAAAAGTTTTTCAACATGTTTATTTCATGAATCGCTGTCTTCCTTGCTTTTGGTTTCGTTGTCGTTCTCGTTGTCATTCACACTACCGTAAGAAAAACTTTTCAAAAGGCTTTTCGCGTCCTCCGATAGTGATTTTTCGATTTTTTTCGGCCATGCTCGAATACTTGTGATCAATGGATCAGAAGACACTAGTTCAGAAGATCACGATTCGTAACTTGTCTTGAATGCTTTCGGTGTTGAATTCTCGGTAGGGTTACCTACCCCATTTCCGGCCTACTAGTCACAACCTGTACTTGATCTTTCTTAATCTAGCGTAGTTTAGCACCAAACGGAATGTTATTATTACTGATGGCTTCCAAATGTATTTACCTTTCCGTACGTACCGTAAAATTTGATAAAGAGAAACTATTCGTTGATATATTGTCAAAAGTCTAACACTTTTCAAATTCACTTAACAATCTTCTTGACGCCAAACTCGGCCTACGGATTCTAAACTCTGCCTAACGCATTGAAACGCCATTGAAATGCCAATGAATTCACTTCGGCCTATTGGATGAAGATAAAGATTGATTCGGTCGGAGCACTTCATTTGTATTTTAGAATATTGGGTTTCAAAAATTCATATCACGCGTTCTTATTGACTTCGTTCGGTAGCATAGTTTACCGGTTAACGCCGAAATCATGGATTTATTTGATGTTCTCTGCTTGATAGGCCCAAAATGGGCGCTTAGGCTGAAGTAGTTATCTACCCTATCTGTTGGATGGGTAAAAATATTTCAATAAAATAATTACATCATGAAGCTTGTATTTACCTACCTTTGCCAATCTTTATTTCTTGCCTCTTGCGCTTCTTCTGAGAGTTGTCCGATTGGTACCATAAAATGGTCAATTATGGAAGACCCATGTATAAGAACCTTATGAACACTTTCTGGAAGATAGTACCAGGGATATAATTTCACCAACAAGCATGCTGTCTCAACACAATAGTTGTCAAATGAGATTGAATCGATTTCGCAACCTGATCCTATTGATTGGAGAATTGAACCACAGCGCTGGATTGCTGTGAGATTTAGTTTAGTGATGTCTGCTACTTGTTCAGCGTTTGCAAAAAAATATTCGATGTTCCAGATCCACCAGATCGTGGTTGATCCACATTCATACCCAATTCTACCTTCAAACGCTGTTGGATTTTCTTTTTCTGTTCTAGCATTTTCTGTTTATCTTCTCCGCGGGACTGCCATTTCTTCGTTTCAAGTCGATATGCAACATGCATAAAATACTCGAAAAATCTAATCCATGCGTGCAGAGGACATAGTCCATACTGAAATGCAGTCTCATTCTGTCGAACTTTGTCTATATCATTAATTTCTGTAGGCTTTGGGGGGAGAGGTAGCTCATCGATTCTTCCGATTCGCCTCCTAGCATCGTGCTATAAGGTACCAGGCGATAACCAGGGTAGTTGATCGATAGCTCGATGACGTCATTTCGTTGGCGTCTGCAATGAGAAATTCTCATAGCAGGCGTTGACGATGGAACGTTGTCGAGTTGTTGAATAGCAACTATCGTGGTAACTCACCGATTACCTGTCGATCTGCCAAATTTGGAAAGGCGTCTGCATTGAATTGTCTCATATAATAATATTCCGCCCACTATATCACAAGAAATTGCGAGTAGCTGAGAGGAATGGAGATAAGTTAAGCATTGGGTACAGGACCAAGTCTCCCCTGGGTGGTACCAAAAGATGAGCGCAATAGAATCATCAAGTTGTCATAAGGCACGGAATGAGACTATTGCATGACTGGGTAGTCAAAGTCTTCCATTCGTTAGTCATTTCAGGTGGATTAGAACAGGTTTAGGTTTAGGGTGGGCGTTGGCCAGATTTGGATTTCTCAGATGTAATCCTGGATAGGACCCTGTCATTGAACGTCGCGTGAAAGTGGAACTTAATGAAGGCCTAAGTACTTTTTCGTAGTTTTTAGTTTTCGGATTTGAAAGATCGTCGGTTACAGTGGCCTGCTTACTGGGCAGAAAAACGCGGTCCCAGGTCCTTACATATCAAAGAGATTTATGGTAAAATCGCTTGTGCATCGTGTATTTTGCGAAACTCGTTGTTGTCGTTGGTTCCGGGTTTGAATGGATACACAAATTTGAGCAACGGTATTATGTGATATGAGGGGCTCGGTGGCCTAAGAGCAACCGTTTTTGCTTACTGAGCAGAACATCATGAGTCTAATCTCAGGCCCATCCACATTCAAGATTCGTCGTTTTATTTGTTAATATGACTTCATGGTAATAACAGCAACTCGGTGATTAAAAGGTGCTCGTCTGCCTAGTGGCAAACGTTTTTGCTTACTGAGCAGAAGACCGTGGGTTTAGTCCCAAGCTCCTTCGCGTTATATGATCGTTAGGACATCAATTCAGCTTATCGTTTACCAAAACGAACCCTGCTGCAAACCCAACCCTCTTATCCAACATCCCAGTGATTCCTCGTGGAAGTGCAGAGGTGTTCTCGGCTTCCATCAAAGCGAGTGTCATGTCAACACAATCCTTCCCATTCCTTTCTTGACTGGTATTGGCGCTGGTATTGCCTAATTTAAGATCACCAGTTTTTACACATTGAGGATGATTGCTAGTCCCAAGCATCGTCTATTGGTTCTCTGTGTAATTACAGCTGATCTGGCAGTAACAGAGTAGCAACCGTGGGCGGTCAATCAAGCTCAAGCAAGCTCAAGCTCATTAATTTCTGTAGGCTTTGCTAGGCAGACAAAACATCTTTAGGACGATTTTGTCCCAGTGAGTGCAGAACAAATCTTCCCGTCCACCATAGTTAACAACATACTGTACCGAACCCGTATGTCCCGTCCATATTTCGTAAACTCCGTTGGCAACAGTTTCTCAATTTGCTCTTCAATATATTCTTTCTCCCGAATGGCAAGCTCAGCAGTTTCGGCCATTATCTGTATCCTTATCGGCCGGTACAGCCGAGTTGATGATGCTCGAGGATTTTGAAAGTATGTCTTCCCATTCGTTTCGGCAGCTATGGGAACTAGTGATGTAATCAACATGCTTGCATCGCTTTTTGAACCGTCATCATCCTCGAATTTTTGATTATACTCAGCATTTCCGGTACTTCCGTCCATTCCCCACTTGATCGTCAAATTGATGTTTAGAAGCTCCTCATCTGTGAAGTTTTTTTTTTTTGTTAATTACTTTATTTGTACAGGCTCATTCGAATAAACTTTACAGAGCCAAGTTATCATTTTCTTTATACATTATAAATGTCTTAAATCTAAAATTAAAGGATTGGAACCGATTACTCGCGGTCTTCTCGAGGTTAGTGGATGACAATTGTTGGATCGGGAGAGGGAAAAGGAGATTTGGAATATGATTTATGATTAAAAAATTTCACTATTTCTAAAACAAATACTTAATCCTATCGACGTTATATCAACTCTGTAATTATACAATTATTACAGAAACAAATCTACAAAAAAAAAATACACACACACATACAAAACACAAACTAAACACATGGTTAATAAAACTTACAATCTAATGTTAATATTCTTAAAGTAAACATATATGAGTTTCATAAACTCCAGATCGCATCTAGCCAAAATATCCCGAACTGGAACATTAGGTTGTCTACCTCGAGCCCGAAGGGAATCGTACAACTCGGATCTGACTCCACGGTGCTCAGCACATGACCAAATAATGTGATCTGCGTCCTGGTAACCTTGTCCACATTCACAGAGATTACTGTCCCCCAGCTCAACACGGAACAAGTGAGCGTTTAACGAGTAGTGATTGGACATGAGGCGAGACATCATACGAATGAAGTCTCGACCCACATCCAACCCCTTGAACCAAGGACACTTCGACACCTTAGGGATGATTGAATAAAACCATCGTC